TGAATAAGAAGGCTTGCGGCACATTTTTTATGTAACTAAATAACAATTTCAGAAGAAATTTTATCTCGAAAATTTTATTTTAACAATAAAATTATATTAAAAATCGCTTATTAAATTTTAATTTATTTCTTTACATTTTATTTAATTTTAATTATTTAATTAATTCAATCTTTAATTATTTCAATAAATAATAACTAATTATCTAATAATTAGCAATTAAAATTATAATTAATTAATTATATAATATTTATCAATTAAATAACAGTTTATAACATTAATTGAATAACTATTAATTAATTTGATAATAATTAGCTTTTTAATTATTAATGAGCTTAATAGTCATTTTATTTATTTATTTACTCTTGTTCCTGTTTGCTGACGGTCTTCCATAGGGCTCCGGCACTTCTAATCTTAAAAATTAAGCTCTGCCTATCAGTTAAATGATTTAGAGTGAGTATTTAACACCTGCCCTTTTAAGACGATGGTTAATAAATTGATTAGGTATTAGATTATTTTTAAGAATTTTAATAAGGAGCAAAACTTCGCATTGTAGATCTATCGTATCTGTGCAAATATTTTTAATAGGTTGTATTTGATTTAAGATAGTATTACTAATAACTTTTTTGGAGATGTTGGAAGTCCAGTTTATTAATTTGTTAGTATTGAAATTGAAGTTTCTTGTTTTGTCAAACAGTAAAATGTTTTTGTAGTTAATTATTTGAAGATCAAGATAGTTGATGTTATTTTGCGAATGATTAGTTTTATTAAGTGTAAGGCATTCTGGATAAATCTATTAAATGTAATAAGTATTCAATCTTATTAAATGTAATAAGATCATGTATATATCGGTAAGTGTGCTTGTGTGCTTGTAGTAATTTAATTCTTGCTGTTGTAAATTTTTTTGGAAGGTAAATTCTTTGATAAATGAAAAGAGATTACAGATGGAAGTACTGAAATGTGCACTCTTTGGAAATCCTCTGACTTGTTTAAAAAGTTGATTTTGAAATTTAATGTAGTTTTGAAAAATGGTGCATTTTAGGTAGGTTTTCCATTTACTAAAGTTCATAATCATGAGCATAGCAGGGAAGAATTTAGGCAGATTTAGTAGACTAGTATAGATTTCTTTTCATGGCTGTACTGATACACCCTGTATATTTTATATGAATTTAGCAAACTTCTGATTAGAAACTCAGCGATCTGAAAGCTTTGCATATCCACTCTGCAAAGCATAATGTATATATGTTTCAAATTTAATCAGAATACTCTGCAATATAAAAAAGTAGTGTTTTGACTAGGGAAAACACAGTTATATTAATTTTTTTCTAATTTAATAAAAAAAACTCAGCTATTTAAGAGAAATGGGCTGTACTGCCGAAATTAAGATATTTCAAAGTGTGTTATCATTCAGCAAAGTGTAAAATATTTAATTTTTCATGCAATAACATGCGTGCAATTGCATCGCACACATTTTGTTTGCTTTTGAAAATGAATTTATAATAGTCGGGCATCATAAAAGGGGCATCATGAGCTTCAGAAACAAACTGGCAATGGTAAGCAAGACTGGAAAATGTTGAAGTGCATGCTGCTGAAGCCTATACATATGAAACAAACGAGCAACGGGAAGCAAAATTTGAAAATATTCTAGTACACACTGTTCGATTTAGACGGACACTGGGCACTGATTTAAATCTTGATGCATTCCATTACGATGCTAATTATGATTACGGTCTTCAGCCAGGTGTGGGTGTTGGAAAGATGGATAAATTATAATGTATTGCAAAGCCCTCAAATTTAAGAATGAAGCACCAGAAATGTTGCTATAGAGTTAGAAAAGTGAAATTGCCTACACCAGGTGGGAAAAAAATATTGTGTATCCAAAAGCATTTCAATGAACAGAATTAAAACGCAAACACTTTATTTCCCTTAAGTAGCACTACAATGCATGCCAGGTAACACACACTCTTATATATATATATACAGTCAAAAGTCGTTAATTCGGACACCCATAATCCGGAATGATCTATAAGCCGGACTTCAAAGCTACAAACTTTCTGCGCATGCGTCGCATAGGCGTTTACGCCTGTGCGTAAGACCTTTACGGCTGCAAATTTGGGTGTGCGCAAGTGCATAATACGTTTACGCATGCGCGTTTAATGTATAACGGACGGTATAAACTAAGCTAAAATTATCTAATTCAGTTAATGTTGCAGATTACGTTGTTCCTTAATCTTTAAATTGGATCCGGCTTATTATTTTTTGTTAGAGCAATTTTATAAAAGTAAGCTTGAACTTTCGATTATGTCAAATAGAATTTCCGATATATATTTACTAATGTGTAAAAGATCTACAAAGCGAAAGTATGTTTTGAAATCCGAAATCTGTTTATCAATTTCACGCTGCTCTGCGGCAGGGGTGGGGGGCAGAAACGTGGCGGTGCGCAATGAATTGGAAGTTGATCTGTGAGCACTATCCTTATCTTCAGGGCAGATGTTTTTATTTTATTTGGCTTATAAAACCTTACTGAATGTAGTATTTCATCTGGATGTACACCATCTTTGATATGATTTAAATCAAGTTCCTCATCATTATAATTCACTTCCGATAGTGAAGAAAGTGACAGAGAGGTTATTGAAAACGAAAACATTTCGATTGACAAATTAGTCGGTATTCTCGACACAGCAATTATAGGACTTGAACAGCGGAACTTTGTAACTAAACAAGAAATTATGTCTGTTTAATAGAATTAAATAGAAAGTATTATCACATGAAATGAAGCAACTTAAACAACTTACATTGAAAGAAATGTTTAATAAAGTAAACAAATAAATATTGAGCTTTTTCTTTTTGTAAATTTTGATATCCTTTAGATCATAATTGTTCTTTATTTCATAAATTACGGTTTCATATTTTTAATTTTGTAATTTCTGCATGCCATCTTACCAGATTTAAACTGATTATCTATAATCCGGAAAAATCGATAATCCGGAATCGCCGAAGTCCCGACGAGTCCGGATTAACGACTTTTGACTGTATATGTGTGGGTGTGTGTATGGTAGGGGAGTTGAAGTTGCTTTGCTAGGGTCAATAAACAATTCCAACATTTTCCACACCACAAACGACATTTAATGAAAATAACAGAAAAGGTATAAATTGAATTAAATACGAGTGCTGTTGCGCCTTCTCATGCTTGTTAGATATAAACAATGTTCTTTATCACTTTTAGAATTTAAATAGTGGCTTAGCGCCTACTCGCACTAGCTGCCGTATATGCAGTCAAGTTACCACCTCCTCGTGGAAACATACAGCTCTATATTTAACACCTTCACATGTAGACCTACGTCTTACCACCTTTGCGTGGGATAGACGACTGTGTGTCTATATGTAATCCTCCTCTTTCACCTCGCTCTTGCTACTGGCGCACCGGTGAGGGCCTCTGGTGGCTGTGTTGCACTTACGGATACCACATGCAGTACAAAGTCTGTAATCCAGACGTCCATTATCTTGAATAATCTATAATCCAAACCTCAAAGCCACAAACTTTACGCATGCACGTGCGCGTAATGTATGCTTTGCACATGTACACGTTGAAAGAAATGTAAAGTAAACAAATAAATATTAAGCTTCTTTTTTGTAAAATTTCATACCCTTTAGATCATAATTGCTCTTTATTTCATAAATTATGGTTTCATATTTTATGCCATCTTACCAGATTTAAATTGATGATCTATAATCTGGAAAAACCCCTAATTCGGAATTGCCGATGAGTCTTGGATTACGGACTTTGTACTGTATATATACATATATATTGTATTTTATTATATACAGTCAAAAGTCTTTAATCTGGACTCGTCGGGACTTCGGCGATTCCGGATTATCGATTTTTCCGGATTATAGATCATCAGTTTAAATCTGGTAAGATGGCATGCAGAAATTATAAAATTAAAAATATGAAACCATAATTTATAAAATAATGAGCAATTATGATTTAAAGGGTATCAAAATTTACAAAAAAAAAAAAAGCTTAATATTTATTTGTTTACTGTATTAAACATTTCTTTCAATGCACGCATGCGTAAAGCATACATTTCGCATAGCTGAAATTAGAAAATTGCAACCAGAAAACTATTTGATTTGTATTTGTGATATTTATAATGACGAGGAATTTGATTTAAATCATATCAAAGAAGTAGTACATCGAGATGAAATACTACATTTAGTAAGGAATTATAAGCCGAATAAAATAAAAACATCTGCCCTGAAGATAACGATAGTGTTGACAGATCAACTTTCAGTTCATTGCGCGCCGCGATGCCCCCCCCCCTCCCTGCAGAGCAGCGTGAAATCGATGAACAGATTTCGGAACGGTTAGATAAACAAAGGATATGCTTTATTATCCATTTTTTGCAGCAATTCCACTTTTTGTTTGATGGACATCGAAACATACTTTCATTTAGTAGATCCTTTGTGAGCTCCAGCATCGGAAATTCTATTTGACATAATCGAAAGTTCAAGCTTACTTTTATAAAATTGCTCTTACAGTCTGCAAAAAATAATAAGCCGGATCCAATTCGAAGATAAAGGAACAACGCAATCATCAACATTAACTGAAATAGATAATTAGATAATTTTAGCTTTTTTTAGTCCGTTATACATTAAACGCGCACACGAAAACGTATCCTGCGCTTGTGCACACCCATATGTGCAGTTGTAAAGGTCTTATGCGCATGCGTAAACGCCTATGCGCATGCGCAGAAGGTTTTTAGCTTTGAGGTCCGGATTATAGATCATTCCAGATTATGGGTGTCCGAATTAACGACTTTTGACTGTATAAGTATTTCTAACTCGATATCTAGTTATGTGCTGCTAAAATACTTGCTTGCTCCTCTTATTGTCCTATTAGTTCAACAAATTCATGACAATAATTATGTATTCATTAATGTATGTGAAAGTAGTTTTTGTGTGATATGTTTAAAAGTGTTAATTTTTTTATTCTTAAACAGGTTTGAATTCTTTATATCATTTCTGGACACAATGAAATGTCAAATATGTGGTGGTTCTGATTTTTTCATAGATGCTGGAGCTTATTATTGTAATGAGTGTGGTGAAGCAAATAAGGTAAAATGGTGTTTTTCATGAGTATTTGTATAAAGATTTGAATGGCTTAACCGTAAAATGCATAAGAGAAACTTGAAAGTGTGAATTAGTAAAATTAGTTAATATTTAACCTGACATTGGTTCTATTATTTATGATTGGAAAATAATACTAAATTACCTTTGTTAGTTTTCAAAATTCTAAATAGTTTTATATCATAATTAATCTAAAATTCGTGCTTTGCTGTATATGAAATTTAAAATGAATTTAGTTTTTTCAGGGGTAATCTAATGCAAATATAAAATATTTGAGATTAAAAAAAATGTGGATTTCATAGGATAATCTGTTCTTCCTCTCTCTTTATTGGAAAAAATATTGGAACTACTGTCATATATTAAACGGGCTGGGGAAAAACTTATCTAAATTTTTTGTTTACATTTCGAACATAAAATGTCTGCAAACGTGCAGTTTTCGCACATGCAAAAACCATGTTTTCGCATATGATTTACACTAAAAGTCCGAAATAAAAACAAAAAATTTAAATTAGTAAAAGCGTGAAGTTTCTTGTCAAAAATGTTTCATGACAAATTTAAACTACAATAACAACAATAGAATCCAAACAATTTCAAAAGAAAAAAAATTTAAAAAAAAAGCAGCACAAAATTAAAGCAATGCAACAATTAAAATAACTGTCTGCAAAATTAATACAATAGAAAAGTAAATTTACTTACCATTCAAAATAGTTCCCAAAAATCAAAATATTAATTTCAAACAGAAACGAAACCAAAATTAAAAAATAAATAAAGAAACACCGGAAAATCAGGACCCAAACCTCAAACTTTGTTGAGAACCAAATTCTTTACCCTCAGCAAATTTTCTGCAAATCCACACAAATTTGTCAGAAACACATTTTTTTTTTTTTTTTTTTTTTTCTGAATCTTCATATCAGACCTGCACTTCTCACATGTCAAGTTCGGCTTTAAAAATCCTATCCCGCAAAAATACACTTCTGTCAGCATGATGACAACCATGAGGAAATGCTTCATTAATAACTCCAACAACATATTTTCTCGAACTAAATCTAGCTTGAATACTCTAAAATATGTGGCTGATATCTCTCCACAACTTCTTTAATGGAACTTATATGCCATTATTACACATGTAACCAAACAACCACCACAACAAAATACAGCCATATTCCTCACAAAAGTTTCCATGTAAAAAGGGTTGCCATACAAACAAAATCTCAACTAAACCATCCAGCACAAAATATCGCCACATTTGGTGACCCCATGTATCCTGTAGCCGTATATGTTATCTTAGCCGAAATAATTTGAGTATGTATCATAGTTACATGGTGTAAATAATTCTGTATATTTATTTTAAAGAATTTTCTTTTAGCTTAGTGTTTTGTTAAAATTCAGAATTTACCCATTTAGTCTCTAAATGCAAATGTTTGAAAAAAGTAAAGCACCTTGAAATTTATATAGCTTTATATAGATAGATTTTTTAATGTATGTGCTTGGTAGTTCTAGAATAATTTATCAGTCTGATAACAGCTGGCAGAACCAAAAACATTTTCTTTTAACTCTTTTAAACTAGATATAAGATAGCTTGTATTCCCAGACATTTCAAGCCACTAAGTTAGTTTTGAGCATGATTTGTATACTTTTGTTTTAATTGCAGATATTCTTAAAATAACTGTATTTTATCATCTGATTTTTTAATCCTAGATCTTATTTTATAGCTATTTTTTAATTTTGATTTTTTTCTGAAAACAGACGTGGATAGTTTTCGTCGAAGTGTGAGGAATATCCAGTATGCGGTGTATTTAACTAATGTTATTAACTGCTTAATATTCTAGAAAGTTGTTTTCTACTTCAGTAATTATTAAAAGTTTAAGTACTGAATTTTTCTGAACTTGAATTTTAATTTTTATATTCCAATAAATAAATAAATAAAATAAATATGTAAAAGTTTTTTTTTTAATTAGCAATTTTTAGTTTTTTTTTTTTTTTTTTTTCATTTATTTATGTATTTATGTAAAATTTATATTATTCCAGTTTTAGTGCTAATTTAGTTTCAGTTTTAGCGTTCTTCTCCCCTCTTTTTCTCATTGTTGTAGTTTACAAGAAAAAGGATTGTAAATTCTAAGCTTTTTTAAGCAGTAGGAAGAAATGATATTATGATTGTAGGATTTTCTTTTATATAAACCCTGCAGTGTTATTATGTGATCACTTGCTTAGCTGTTTTGGAAAAGCAGTGCCTAGTGTTTCTGGGAAGATTAAGATGTATCTTGAAGCCAACTAAGTGCTCTTAAAGAATGAGTTAATCTTTTGATAACTGTTTCTTTATTAGGAATTGAATGATCTTACATTCTTTCAGAAAAGATAAGGTGTAAGAAAAGGCATTCTTCACTTAGTATAGACATTTATGTTTACATCAATTCTTTTTTCTTGTTAGATTAGATACAGAAATGACAAATTGTTGTAGAGTTTGTTTATTCAATAAGAAAAATAAATAAAATGTACAAAAGAAAGTTATAATGAAGGGATAGCTAGACTGTTTAGTTGAGGAATAAGAATTCTGACAAGAGTGTATTATTGGTGATTGTGAGAATGATTTCACATAAAAACTTGGAAATGTGTTTTAAATATACCTAATATATATGCTAATAAAATATATTTTATTTTTATCACATCAATATGTTAAAGTATTTTAATTTCTAATTGATTAAAATAATTTGTATGTTTCAGCAAACAGAAGAACAAACTGGAAATGATGAAGTTTTAATTAATCGGAATCTTGTTAGTTCGCAAAAAGCTACAAAGGAACATGCTAAACACAAACCAAAATTGTATTCTTCTTGGTTGACTCCGGAGGCATATAATATTATACTTTACAAACAGGTTTCAGCCTTAATCAGACTTGGTGCTTCTGCAAAACTAAAGGTAATAATGACATTTCTTGCTTATATTTGTAAAATATGAATAGTAATATGAATCAGCTTCGATAAGTAAGCAAAAATATAGTTCTGCCACTCCAGTTTGAATTAAAAATTTCAGTGTTGCTGTTAGGTTTGTATTTTTGAAGCTTACTATAATAGTATATTACTATCAGGCCAGTGGTGTGCAAACTGTGATTGTTTTTGCGAGCAATTTTTTTTTGGGGGGGGGATCACTAAATTCAAAGAAATTTATTTGGCAATAAAAATATAAGGCAAGAGAATTCTGGTTGTTTTTTAACATTTTCCAGGAAATTTAAATTAAACAGTGTAAAGTCTATGTCTCTCTGAGAACATAGACTTTTGAAAGGACTATTAAAGAATTATCTTCTAGCCTTGTGAAACAACACAGAAATCATATGAAGGGTGTATAAAACCCTTTTATTCAAATATAAAATGAACAAATGACCCAACTTAGTTTACACTAAGCCAAGCACTTCTGACTTAACAGAAATACACAACAAATAGTAATTTCAAGGTGTAGTAGATTAGCCTAACGGTTCACAGAATATTTAAAAGCACAGGAAAAGCTCTGGTTTGTAGTAAACTGGCAGAATGGGATTTAACTTTAAGCATTGGCTGGAGAGCCTAACTTACTCCTGCACACAACTAAATTTACTTTTAACTTAGTTTTCTCATTTGAAGGTTTGCAATCACAATTCATTTATGCAGTATAATTAAATTCTTATAACTAGGCAAGTCTTTTTAAACAAAACATATATTTGAAAATATTTTTCACAACAAAATAAAATACATTGAATAAGTTTTTACAATAGAATTCAGATTGCATTTTTCATCGAGATTTATGAGTTGCTTTGAATTTCTTAACATCTGTGTTCGCATTTCCTGATATCAGTCTCTTAGACTAAAATTGCATTCGCATTTCATGATTACATTAACACAGAAAATTACAATTTTACTTACAAGCCATTTTGTAACCTCACTTGAAGTAAAACTTTTAGCAACTAGTTTTTCTAGATATAAAATAAAACTACAAAGATGAAAATAAATTTGAACTTATCTTTCTAATCTTTGAAGTTTGTCCGTCTGTTTTTTGATGAACTGTTCCCAGCTGGTATAGCCTCTATTTTCCAGATCCTAAGCTTTTGTTGGTGTTGGTCTTCCGGTCCATCATTGAGCATCCTCTTCTTTCCTGCCTCCCAGAACCTTTATCTTTTCCTACAGAGTTGGGGGCTCTCCGGTGGTTCCGTTTCCATGGGCCACAAGTTGAGAGTGCTTTTAGTGCTATGAGCAGTGTGTTAGACAAGGAGTGTGGCCGCACGAGTATAGACACATTGTCTGCTATACAAACAGTAAAATACACATTTTTGAGTTGCAATAAGTCAGCTCTGGAATTTTTTAAAAGGGATGACCACTTGCATTTTCCAGTACACAAAACTCTATATAAAAATTTAAGGAATGCTCATAAACTGTACAAAGAAGAGCTAGAGATAAAAAAAGAGGAGCGAGAATCTAAAAAAAAGCAATTAAACATTGCAGAAAATAAAGAAGAAGAAAATAAAAAAGTATCAATGGATTGTAAAAGCTGCCGAAAAGAAATTGAGACTATATCGCAAACAGAAATTAGAAAAGTTGGCTACAAAAGTAGCAAAAAAGAAAAAGCTTTTTCCCTAAAAATGTTTAATCAGGATCGAGTGAGACTGAGACAAAATAGTTATTTTTTATATTTCTCCTTTAACTATATGTTATTTTGTAACTATGTTATCTCACATGACTACTTTTTCTGGTGTTATATAAAGTACTGTTTATTGAACTAAAAGTGAAGGATAATTGAAAGCTATAGTAACAGTTATATATATTTTAATCTCTAAAACTTGTTATTGCCTGAAAATGGGCAGTAATATTGTAAGGATCTTAAGTTTTACTAACGTTTATTTTATTTTAAATCTTTACTATCACTTCTTATTTTCTACTTCCGGCCAGAATTATAAGCGTGAAGGATTTTATGCAAAGTTTGTCTGGCGAACGCCAAGTACTTAAGTTGTGGCTTTTTGCCAAGCAAGAGAGAGAGGAAGCAGTGAGTTCGAAGCAGGCCGCTTACCTTAGAAGTTACGCAGTTGCTATTTGCCTTCCAGGCCAGAGGTTTTAATCCTCTTGATAAATTAAACGTATTGTAGTGTTCACAGTCTCTGTGCTACATACGCTTCCTGTTATTATAAGGCCAATCTTCCACGTGTATTATTCTAAAGTTAAATTAGAGTTTAGTTTTATTTTTTTTACTTTTACGTTAGACCCCGAGTGGCGGGTCAGTGTATTTCGAAGTACGGAAGTTATTGTATATAGAGAAAAATAAAGGGTTTTGTATACCCTTCGTCTGTATCCTGTCTACTTACTACAATTAGTGAACATAGCTTTAGTAAGCTCTCTGTTCCTAGTCAGGTCCTTGTATGTTCCCGAAGAAGGTTAGAAGGAACATTGAACCTGATAGTGGCGCCCAACGAAGAAGAATAACCATGGCCGAGTTTCAAGAAGAACCTGTGCTGCCTGCAGAAACGGCTCAGAATCCAGAAATGCCAGCTGTCGCCCTGGAAGGATTCGGTTACATCGTCCAGACCATGCGCGCTTCGATGAAACCAGAAGCAACGTTTAACGAAAACTCACCGGTAACCAGTTTTTTGGAAAAATTGGATGACCACTTCATGCTCTACCCCGTGCACGAGTTTCAAAAAGTTACCTTAGCTACCAGCGCTTTAAGGGGCCAAGCGCTTAACTGGTTCAAATGTATCGGCAAAAGTCTCTTGGGTCAAGCAGGAAGTCCCACCTATACTTACGAAAATTTCAAGACTGCCCTACTAAAAGCCTTCCCTGTTGTAAGGGATCGTGTGAAATTAGAAACGGAACTTTTTAATATATATCAACAAAGAATCGAAAACCTCTCGAGCTTTATTTTAAGAAACGTTTTCAAGCTCTTGTATGGAAACCGTCCGGATCCTGAAATAATTCAAGTGATTTTGCCGAGGTTACTGCCCCAAGTGCAAGACTTTATTGAATTAAGAAATCCGACTACACTGGAAAAGTTATTTGAGCTAGCAATCCAGTTTGAAAGTAGAAGAACGGCAGACGTCGAAAGAAGACGCCAATATCAACAGCGAAACCAATTTGGTACGCCAAGACTACAGCAAACTCAAGCACATGGCTATGGAGAAAAAGCGAATCAGTGGGCAAGGAAACCCGAGCATTCAAAAACAGCCGGCGAATGTCGACAGTTCAATAGCAACCCAGGAAAAAAGTCTCAAGGCCAGGGGAAAAAGAAGGAAAGCACGGAAAGGAAAAATTACCGTAAATTAAATTCCATAACGAAATATCCGGTATATCCGTTGCCGATCATAGAAGAAATTTTAAGGAACATAAAATCAACCAAATTTATGACGACTTTAGACTTAACGACTGGTTATTTTCAAATAGGGGTTAGGCCTGAGGACGTGCCTAAGACTGCTTTTATAACCAAGTCTGGCACTTACGCATTTTTGCGTATGCCGTTTGGCCTTTCAGGGGCCCCAGCAACATTTCAGCGATGGATGGACATTGTGTTAAGACCTCTTCTTGGAAAGTCCACATTTATCTATTTAGACGATATCATTATTACTAGTGATAATCTCGACCAACATGTACAGGATTTAAGACAGGTGTTTTCTTTATTAAATGAGGCCGGTCTAAAAGTTAATGTCGAAAAGTGCAAATTTGCAGCCCCTGAATTAAAATATTTAGGTTACAAAATATCTCAAAAAGGGATCGAGACAGATGAATCAAAAATAATCGCTGTACAAAAGTATCCGACTGCAAACACGGCAAAGAAGCTCTCTTCTTTTCTAGGACTTTGTTCATATTATAGGTCCTTTATAAAAGATTTTGCGGCTATCGCTGAGCCATTGTTAAAATTAAAAAGGAAAAAAAGGCAAGATTCTCGTGGACGGCCGAAGCCAATAGTGCTTTCGAAAAATTAAAACCAAGCATTAACGCAAGCCCCTGTGTTAAAATTTCCTGAAAAGGATGAAAATTTAGAAATTTCAGCGGATGCTTCGGATTATGCGGTAGGAGCAGTACTTTCGCAAAATCAGCAGCCCGTGGCATTTTTTAGCCGAACTTTAAATCAAACACAAAGAAACTATTCCGCGACCGAGAGAGAGGCACTTGCAGTTCTGTTAGCAGTGCAAAAGTTCCGTGTCTATTTTGGAAAGGCGCCGATAACAGTATACTCTGATCATGCGGCGGTAACTAGATTGTACTCGGGGAAAAATTTATCCCCAAGGTTAATAAGATGAGCACTCAAGCTGCAAGAATATAATCTGGTAATCAAGCATACCCCCGGAAAGGAAAATATCGTAGCAGATGCCCTATCACGAATTAAATTAGGCGAAATGAAGTAAGGTAATACCGTAAAAGTTGCAATGCTTACAGCATGTACAATAAATTCCCGAGACACTGTAATAACAGAACTGGGTAAAGATCCTGAGTTTGGAAGTATTTATGAGTATTTGAAGGATCCTGAAAATTTTAGCCACCAAGATATTGTGGCGATAAGAAATAGGGCGGCCCATTACGAACTAATAGATGGTCTATTATTCTACACAAAAGCTACGAATTCCAACAACGAATTTCGACCTGTTATCCCAGCTAGTCTTAGATTAAATATCCTGCATGAGCTCCATGACAGCCCTTTAGCTTCTCATGCTGGTATTCGAAAAACTATCCAACGCGTACGCGAGGCAGTCTACTTTCCTGAACTGCAAAAGTTAACAAGGGCGTATGTCCAGTCCTGCCCAACATGTCAAGCCGTTAATTATATTAATTTCCGCCCGGCCGGGTTTCTAAATAGTATTAAATCCGAATTTCCAAATGAAATAATTGGCATCGATTTATTGGGCCCTTTCCCAAAAAGTCAGTTAAATAAAAGTCGCTATCTCCTTGTTATGGTTGATCATTTTA